TAGTTGTATATGTAGAATTTTGTATGAGCACAGTGACCACAATATTTTTCTTTTTTTGTGTTTTATTTTATTAGATCAGGATAGGTCTTTTTGCATAAGAAATTTTTAATAAAATGATATTGATAATTGAATTTGTAATTGAAATTTTAATATGTTAATAATTAGTATGAATAATATAAATTTAAATATAACTTGAAATATAAATACATTAATTCTATTTCTTAAATTTTAAATTTTATGTGCAAAAAGACATTTCGTGACAGATAAATTTTTGAATCAAAGCAAAAGTTGTAAATATTGTTTTTATATTTTTGAAAATGTGCTTTGATGAAAAAATTGCCTGAGGTTATTTTTATTGAATATTTATTTAGAATCATTACATTGATATTTTTCTATATTTAATATTAATATCAGTATCTAATAATTCATTAATTTTTAGAATAAATTTATTAAAATAGATTTGAAATTTTTTTTGAAATTTAAAATAAACAAACTTTAAATAAACAAATATATAATATTAGTCTGTTAGTTAAGAAATAAATTAATACTTTTTTTAGCTCAGGATTTTCAGATTTAACCCTTTCCATATTCATTGCCAGGATCTCATTCACGTGCTCAGATGCTACTTGGATGAGAGAGAGGCGATGAGTATGATGACCATAGTTTATAAATTTATAACAATTTTTTAGCGATTGACGATGCGTTAGTGTATCGTGCACGACGTATTTTCTACATTATGTGTGTGTATGTGTGGTTAGGCTGTAGAATTGCGTCGTTTTATTTATTATTCCATATAGTATAACTTGAAATAGTAAAAATATTCACAATTATTAATCTAACTATAATATCTTACAATAAATATGCAGTATTATTAATTTTATTATTTTTAAATTACAATGATATTAAATTTTGTATTATTGTTTAGTAAAATATAATTGCTTTAAAAAGTATATTATATATTTTTATAAATATTTATGACTAAGATTATATTTTTATATATCATATTTTTATTTTACACGCAATGATCGCTAGCCATCGTCAATCGATTTCAGGAAAATGGTACGTAAAGTTAGAGTATGAAAGTAGCATGCCAAGCTCGGGTGTCGGAGGCGTCCCGGGACGCTTTCCCTAGTGTAGGCTTTTGCGCCCGAGTATTATGAGTGAAAATCGTGGAATGAATGTGTTGGTGTGCCTGCTTTGTCATTTTTTAAATATAGGATTAGGTAGGATAGGTAGTATATTTCTGGTGTGCTTGTTAATTATAAGTAGGTAGGGCCGGGCAGATTGTCACAGTCTCTGATCGGGTAGGCGCGTTTTCGCGTGACAATCTGTTTCAGGAAATATAATTTGGAAAATCGAGGGTGAAGTTGGAACGAATGGAGTATATATCACTGTTGCCCATCGATTTTTCGAATTTCCGCGGTCGCGGTCGCGAATAATCTCGAAACGAACGTTGAGCTCGAGATCCTGTACATATTCGATCTTCACGATCATTGATCGTACATATGTACCTAACTTCCGTGCTTTTTTTTTTTTTTTTGCTTTATTAGTGAATCTCGAGCCTAGTTTTAAGTTTCAGCGGGCATTGCGCCCGAAGGAGGAAGACCGAAGAGGCCCGACAAATTGTCACGAAGAGGGCTGCAACGAATGGTTTCTCATTTTTTGGATCTTCTTTGGGCCCAAAGAATGGGAAATCATTGTCACTGTGCTCATTTGATATGTAGTTTTTATTATTATATTATTTGGCCAATTTGCATACTGGCCTATCATTCAGATCTAGTCATAAATATCGCGATTTTTTATTAGTGTTGCGATTGATTAATAACGGGTTGAATTAGAATTGCGATAAATTATTGCGAAAAATTAATTACGGTTTGAATTAGTGTTGCGTTAAAATGAAATTCGCGTTTGTATTAATTTTGCGAATCACAAATATCGCGTTTTTTTTTATTATAAATTATTATATTTTTTTTTTAAATTTTTAGTCATTATTGCATGTATAATATATTTTTTTTTTAATTACCAATTTTTTAAATTACTAATCCAATAAATTTCAGTTTCAATTTAATTTGGGAAAAACATTCATCAAGTCAATTATTAATTGGTAAGTAATTATATTATCTAAAATTTTAATGATTTTTTATAGTTTGATTTGTTTCACGATTATGATAGAAAACAGAGAAGATTCATATTTCAAATAACATCTGTTTTCTTTTTTCTAATTAGATTTTTGAGATACTTGGAAACCTAAAACAAATTTTTTAATTTTATATAGGTTATATTTTATTTTATATAATATTTTTATATATACTTCTAAATTATAGAAAAAAAATTTATTTTAGATAGGTTTTCCATAATTTTTTAAAATTTTCTATAGTGCTTTTAAATTTCTTTAAGATACAGCTTAAAAAAATTTAGCTTGGCTTATATAGGCAAAGATTATATTTGAGATCAATTGAGAAGTTATTATAATTTATGGAATTTTACAAATTCTTTATAGTTTCATTCATTTCAGAAACTTTTATTGTGGAATAAATGTAGAATTAAGCATTAAATAAAAAAATTTACATCTTATGTATTATTCTTTTTCTTTTGATTGTATTCAGCTTCTCTTGTAGATAGATTTCCTAAACAAATATTAAACATAAATTTAATTTATTAGATAGATATATAAACATTATCTTTTTTATTAGGCAAGCATTTAAAATATTTAGTTTGTATATAGACATATAGATAAGAAATATAAAGAATATAAGTTTAGATGAAATTATTGTTCATTTCAAATTTATAAAATCTATAAAGACTAATAGTAAAAAACATAATATTTCTAAGAGTATAATGCATGCAAGATTTTAAAAAATTATATTCATTTCATATAAAAATCTTTTTTCTAAATCTATTACAATTAATTATTAATTTAAAAATTGATAAGTTATTTTTTACTAAAAAAATTAAGAATTTTAAGATACAAGTAGATTTGTAGAAAAATATTAGGTACTACTGCTCTAAATAAAATACATTTGTAAATAATAAATGCATGTACAATTAATTAATAATAATAATGATGATAGTAATTGTGATAGAATTTAAATCATTAAAGTATAACTTTAAATCAAAAAGTATAACTTTTTTTAAAATATATTTCATTTATTTATTTTTATCATTATTATTAATAATATTTTACATTTTCATTGCAATGAATGTAAAATATTGATATGTATGTATCTTAACATGTGTATATCTTATATAGTTATATAATTAAATTAAGAAATAATGTAATTTTTTTATTTTCAGGTTTAATTTATTGCAGTTCTATCGGTTCTCCTTGATCTTTTTGTTTGTTTTGCACAATAATTAAATATTTGAACGTTTTACAAACGCATTAAAAGAACAATTTATATGAAAATAAATAAATTTTTGCATGAAAGGTGGATAGGATATGGATAAAATAGATCTCCAATCCGTAGTAATATCCAGATAGTAAAAGATGAAAATTTTTATTTATATATATTATAATTTGTAATCATATCATGTATAATGTCTAATATCATGATATAATTATAAATTGTATAACAAATAGAATGAATTAATTAGCTGTGCACATAAAAGATTTATTTTTATCATTTATTCCTAAATTTCTGTAAATTTCTAATGTAGATGCATGTATATATAAATTTTTAGCATGATTGTAAATACTTATATCATAGTACGGTAGATGGCGTAAGTAGTATTGATTGAAGTCGGTATGTTAGAATAAGTTCCGCAAGATGTCGTGTGTATTCTGTTTCTCGTAATTATAATTTTATTTTTTACTTAATCGATAATGCTGGAAATGATATTAACATAGAATAACAGAATTTTTGAAATTTTGAGATGTGATAGAAAAGATTAGATGATAAATTCATTTCATTGTTCATTTATCTCTACTTTTTCATGATTTCCAAAATGAAATTTAATCGAAAACTAATTATAGTTTATTGAATTCAAATACAGTCGCTCCATAAAAAACGGGGATATTAGTTTAAACAATTTTCAATAGATAGCGCCACTATGATGTTACATCGAATTATTTATTAAAATAATAATAAATATTTCAGAATAATATAATGAAAACAGATATATCATAAATTTAAAAATAACAATCTTCGAAATTAAAGCGAAATTATTTCCCTCCTTTATATAATTTGTTCTCAAATATAATATTTTTAAAATCATCTTTTTATTTTTTTTTATCAATTAAAATTAAGAGATTTCTCATATTATTAATTAATTCTCAAAAATTTCGTCAATAATATATCATATAGAAATCAGCAATTTCTGTCGATCTAAGATCATCGAAATTAAACACAGTTAACGCTTAGATCTAAGAGGTTCCGATGATTAAATTCGAACGACTAAATTCACGTATCATCTTAATCCATCAAATATACTCTCCTCCACCAAAGAGTCGAAAGTAAATCGAAAAAGGCGGCGAGGAGTAAAAAAAAGAGTCTCAAAAGTACCGTAAATTGCGAAGGGTACAAGAATTCCAGAATGTCCGTGTAAGAGAGGCAAAAAAAAAAAAAAAAAAAAAAAAAAAAAA